ACTAGGAGCAAGGACCCTACTAGGGGCTCCTGGCATCGCTACTAGGAACAAGGACGCGTGAGGGTTTGTGAACACGTTTAATGCACCTAGTATAACGTGACCAACATGAGCACCTAGTATAGCGTGCATGGTTAACACGGACCGTTTTTTTCTACTTTTTTGGGGCATGTATGTTTGCTGAAGAGTAAGTACTGTATATTTTATTATATATTTATATATATAGCGAGAGAGCGAACAGGAAATATGGAAGATAAGACAACACATGCTCAATTAGAAGTCAGCCACTTCGAGTAGTGTGCGCCAGGTTTCACGTATTCCTCTAAGAACGTTTCACAGGGCTTAAACGACTGCCCTTTTGACCTCCCTCTGTTTGGGTAAGGATGAAAGCGTACGATGACGCGAAAGCTTCTGGTGACAAGAACCCAGCGAAGGCGGTGGCGCACCTACCTGGATACTACAGATGCTGCATGTACAAGTGGAAAAAGCAAAGAAAAACCCAGCAGTGGAGCCTCCTGTGCGCTGTAGCGCCCAAATTGGCGCGCAAGCATCATGAGATGCCAGACTGTCTACGCACCATTTTGAAGGAAGCGGGCAAGTTCGGACAGAGGACACCACAGGGCGGGGACAGCGAGAAGGAGACTAACATTTTGCCTCCAGAATTTACTCAGATTGTGTCAGACACCGTAGTACTTTGCCGGCATTCTTTGTTTTCTCGGGAGGGAGGGAGGGAGGGAGGGAGGGAGAGAGAGAGAGAGACGAGAGAGAAGAGAGAAAAGAGAAGTGAGAAGAGAGAAGAGAGAAAAGAGAAGAGAGAGAGAGTGTGTGTGTGTGTGCGTGTTGGTGTTGTGTATGCACATGTCTTTTGAGAGCTAGGTTGAACGCATCAAGTCCGGGGAGGAAGTGGACTACACGTACGTAGTCAAAGTCCTCGAGGCGACCATTGATACATGGAACACATGTGTCCGCAGTGTCCTGGACAAGCTGAAGGACGGGAAATGCTTGGAGCTGCTAGAAGGGGCCGATGTTGACACTGCTGATGGTCTTGAAACTCAAATGGAGTTTGCGCTTGGGAGATTGAGGGAGATCAATTTGAAGCGCACGCAAAAGAACTTTATGCACCTTGTCGCACGCATTCTAAGTGTGGTGTCAGGTGAATTTTCTTGGGGATTTGAAATAAAATTGAGTTTATGTTCAGATGCAAGCCTTTTCTGTAAATTGCCGTCCTTTTCCGTTCCTTCCCTAGCTTTCTCTGCCTTGCCTTTCCTGGCTGATCCACTTTTCCTTTGCCCGCAGGTCGCAGGCAATTAAGCTTTGCAATGCTGCGGGTGTCGTTGTGTCGCAGAACACAAAGCCTGGGAAGCACCTGGAGTTTAATCATCCTGCGATGGTGCAAGTCAGACAGTGGGTGTCAGAGCAGGTGGCGGCAGGAGTTTTCTCACCCAGGATGATAGGAAACTTCGATCAGGTTTGGGCAATGGCTTTCCGCCCAAGGAGGGCCACGCTTCAGCAATCTGGTTCCGCCAATGCTACTGATGAGTTCAAAGGGAAGCCGTTCCTGAGGAAGATGAGACGTGTGTTTGAGCGATGCCTCAACAAGCCTTTCACAGAGGAGTCCTTGTTGCCTCAGCACCAGCAGGATCCCACCATGACTGGGGGCACTGCGGCCAACGTACCAGTTGATGGCTGGAGAGTGCCGCGGACATTAACAACATTGTCCTGGGCTGACGGAAGCCTTGGAAGGGGCTATATCACCTACCGTGAATCAGATGGAGTGTCTGAAAAGGCACGACACCGCCTCAACCAGGACATGATTTGTTTCAATGGAGTTGAATGAAATGAATTTCATGGAATGACACGGAACGGGATTCGACTTGTTGCTCCCACTCTCATAGAGGTCCACATCCCAACTGATCAACCACCGCTTTGCCTTACATATGCAAGGTTGAATATTGTTTAGTTTCTTAGAATGTGTCTGCAATGCGCTGTTCTGGCCTTTGTGGCAGGAGTTGGAACCATGGCTCTTCATTGCTGAGCCACAACAACGCTCTCACATTTGGTCGGCTGAGTCATTCATGCACTACTTGGATTTCTTAGCGCAAGAAGTCCGTGAAAGGAGAAAGGCCCTACACCTCAAGCATACAGATGCAGCTCTGATTATCTGCGACAACGCATCGCAGCACGCAAGTAGCAAATTCAGAGCGTTCAAGGAAGAATGGATGCGGACCCACAACGCCGTCCCTCTCAACCAAGCAGCAAACACATGTTGTCTTTCAAGTGCGTGAGAAACTGTTAGCATTCTAAGTTATTCCTTCTTGTGTGTTTCATTGTGTGAATGGATGGGTGGATGGAAAAATAGATGAATATATAGATCAGAAAAATTGATATAGCCATCCTGATCCTCAGGTTATCCTTACCGGAGACACCAGGGATTGCAGCGTGCCTGGAGGATTCGGTGCCAACGGGGCACCCAATGATGGGTTCCATCAGCATCTACACGCTCTGAAACATGCTTTTTGTTCAAGCTGTCTTTCGTGGAACAGTAGCTTTGACATGAGAAAAGGATTGGACCAGCTGGACACATCAGTGCAATCGAGCCTGTCTTCAAAGCTCTTTGGTGGAAGAAGGGGGGAATAGGGCTCATCTCATTCCCAAAGTTTCATTGTTCACATAGGCTGGAAATTGATTTTTAATTTGAAGCACGTCTAGGGAAAAATCTCAGCGGTTGGTTGGAACGCGCATTGAGGCTTTCCTTAGAGGACTCCATACGTGCAGATGCGTGGGCCTTGAAGAGCTTGGGGGAATATGAGAGCCTTGACGATATCTTTTGTCATTAAGAGCGACCTTGTACAAATATATATATATATAGCTCAGGACTGAAAGTTAGAATTACGTTTTGGAAGATACCAATGGTGATTTTCGATGATTCCGGCCATCCGCATGTAGGGTTCCGCAATGTTGAATTTGTCGCACAGATAGAATGCCGTTGCACCTGTAAAGCCACCAAAAAGAACAAAAGAGAACGACCCTTACGACAGATCAAACAGATAGAATGCCTTTTATGATTTCTTGTATGTGTTGATATGAGTCCATCCACCTACCCCACCCACCCCATCCATGTCCATCCATCCAAACCCACTTCCATCCATCCATCCATCCACCCTTTCCATCCATATCCATCCATCCACCTGCCATCCATCCATCCATCCATCCACCTATCCACAAACCCACTTCCATCCATCCATCCATCCACCCACCCACCTACCCACCCACCCACCTATCCACCCACTATTTTCATCCATCTCCATCTATCCATGACCATCCACCCATTCATCCAACCAACCTTTTTGAAGACCTGTAGGAGGCATTCCAAGTGTGATTTGCCCAGTGTTTTTAATGTTACAGGCCAATGGGCACCGCCTAGAATCAGCCAGCATTCTAAGTGTACAATACATCACAAATAGCAGGCAAAAGAAGCACGTCTTTCTCATGCGGCATTCTATACTGTAAATATAACTATATATACAACTATATACTCTTCTAGGATTGTGTATGTGTATATATATATATACATATGCTGTGTATATATATATATATATGTACTTCGATAAAGTCTTGGTCTAGCGCTTCCTTATCAGACCCCCGCTTCTGGACAAATAAAATTATGGCAGATCCCGCTCCGACCAAGGAAGGGAAAGTTGGTGTGGAATGCCTGGATGAATCGCGGATTGGTGAGCGCGGAGAACTTGGCGCTCTGGCGATTTGAAGGCAAGGATTGCTAATTCTGTGTGCCTTAGAATGTCTTTTCTTTTTACAGGGGATGGCATTCTTAGACCATTGGTAGCCTATAGCCTGCAGTCAATTACTTTCTTTCAGTGCACGCTTGCCCCTTTCTTTTCCTTTTCCCTGTTCTTGTTCCATCTCCCGATCCATTGTCCCTTTTGATTCTGGGCAGGCAGCATGGAGGCTTTGGAAGAGGCACGTCAGAGGCAGCCAGGAGCCATGAAAGCCATCCTAGACTTGGCAGAGAAGCCTTCTATACAAACGCACACTACTGAAGATGTGCATCAAATGCGGGAGGCAAGGTCAAGTCCCATGCCCGGAGAACAGAATGTGCTGTGGGCAATCCAAGCAGAGGGCGTGGAGTCAAGGCAACTTCTTCCTTCTTGGATGGCTTCACCGATCTCGAAGGAGATTTACAAGTGGGGGGACGAGAGGCAGAAGTGGAACAAAACATTGGAAGATCGCTGTGGAAAGCCTTTGACTGCTCTCCAGAGCAAAAACTATGAAGAGTGGAAGGAAAGGCGCTCACAGCTGACCTTTCTTTTCAACAAGAAAACCCACCAGCTTGTGAAGCACATCAGGGCCAATGCAAATTGGCAAAAGATTCAGGAAGAGATGCTTTCCATCCGGATCCACCTCGCTGATGACTTGGAAAGCATGAGGATCCAGGCTGGGTCTGGACCATTGTACTTGCTCCTCATGCTGCGCGGTGATGTAGTGGACACTGATGCATTGCCTGGTTGCTTGGACCTGGGTGTTGCTTCAGGAGCATTGGAAGCCTTGGAGGGCGAGAATCAGGGTCCAGAAAGTGAGGATCTCGAGGAGGAGTGTGCTGAGGATGAGGCTTTCCTTCAACAACAGGAGGCAATGCAAATTGAAGAGCAGAAGGTTGCCGATGTGGAGGCCATGGCAGACACATCGGATGAAGAGACTGTACAGGAGGTACTGCATTCTAAGTTCACGAGAGTGAAGGCATTTACTCACCGTCCAGCTTACAAGGCTTTGGAGGACCGTGGGCTCACTCTCATCCCTTCCCATGAGAAGGGAGTGGTTTTGTGCTTTCACAGCACCACCAACCAATGGCAAGCATACTATCCGAATGTCCATCAGGGCTTGACGATGACATTTGGAGGAAAGTCGCAGAGTAGCTTGGAATGTGCAGAGTCTGAGGTTTGTATTGCACATATGTGCATGTGTATATATATATATATATGAACACATATGTACTGTGTATATAGGTACGACAAAAAATATATATATATATATATAGTTTATATAACTTATAAGGTATATATAGACAAAACCTTTTGGATTCGCTGGGTTTCTGTCTTGTTTGATGCAAGCTACAGAATGTTAGAATGTCTGTTTAGGTTCCAAACATCTATAAGCCTTGTAAAACGCTTCCCGTGGCGGATGCATTCTAAGTTCATCCCAAAAGCCCAGGAACAGAGCAGGAAGCCATCTTGTATATCATCAAGAGGCTCCTTCAGATCTATGTCGAATTGCACCCAAAGGACAAAATGTGGAAATCCCAGCTCGAGAAGGTATGCCATGCAGAGACTACTCTCTTGCCTTTGTGAGCTCAGCCTAGAATTCATTCACTAACTCTTTCCACCATTTCACAGATGCACGCGAAATGATGGTGGATTCTGCACGTTCGGAAGTGTATGGAAGGAGAATACATGTTTCACCCAAGACTCAAGACGCTAAGGGTTGTGGGAAAAAGAGCTCACAGCATTGCATTTTGCAAGGAATAACGACACTTTTAAACCTTTTATGATAGGAATTTATATCGGACCGGTACTTAGAATGCCGCGGGCATTCTAAGATGGAGATGCATTCTATGCGTTTGGAACTCAAACAGGCATTCTAAGTTTCAATGGTTTAGTATATTGCTCAATTTACTGATAAAATCCAGTGTAAGGAGCTTAACCCACTCTCCTCCTAGGTGATCTATGCGGTGGCGCACGTGAGGGGTGGCGGCGAACTCGGCCGTGACTGGCCGGGGGACCGAGGAGCGTTGGGCAGGCCGAGTTTGCAAGTCGAGCTGCCACTCTGCCTGGCCGGGTTTCAATTGGCTTGGGCCATGTTGGGGGGGATTTGGATGGATTTGGTGGCCAAACGATGAGACAGGAGTCCGGAACGCCAACGATGTATATAAGGTTTTGTTCTATAGTTGTACCTGCCGATGTCATGTTCCATATTTCTATGACGGTTCCTAATTTGGCACCCCACCTCCTCCCTCTCTTGAGAAAACGGCTCTCGTGTCAAAGGGCGCCTACTAGCCGCCGACGCTCAAAGCTCCAGTCCTTTGGTCCCTCTCCCGAGGCGCGAGGAAGGCCGCTACCTGAAAGTGAAGAACCGCTTCCAGGATTTCATCGCAGTGGTCTGGGGGGCCCAGAGGTTCTCCCACGAGTCGAGTCTAGGGAGAGGTGGGGAGGAGGTGCGCGAAAGGAGAGAGTGAGTGGTTCGGGCCCAGGAGGTCTCTCTTTCATCCAAGGGCCCAGGAGGTCACTACCACACCCTCGCAGCGGGTTTTGAGCACCGCTGAAAGACCATGACTTACAAACAAAGTCCTTCAGGAAATCAACATACTCCCAAGAGAACCAACAAAAATATCCCATCAAAACCTTAAAATGTCCCAATCAAGCTTTCCCTTGTCAGACAAAGATGAACTGTGTTTTCACTCAGAGTGAGCTGTCAGCGATGATGAGCCTTTGCCACTCCAACTTGTTCCCATTGCGTTCCCACTTGCACTTTCCATCACTTCGGAACTTTGGGGCATCATTCCACCAGAAAAACCTTGCACATTCGGTACTTCCACAATTCTGTTCCACCAAGTCCTAAGCAATCCTAACACACTCCCAGCAAATCCTAACAAACTCCCACCAAAACCTTAATGTTAACCCAATTTTGGGGGTGCACCTATCCCATTGGCAGAGAGGACCTGCCAAGAACCTTCTTTCTTTTTCCTACTAGTAGCAGGCATCCTAAGATGGCAATGCCTAGCTCAAACAAAAGTGGCCTCTTGAGCCAGGACCTGCTAATGAGAAGTGTCATTTTCCCATCAAATGTTGTCAGGAAAATGTTGCGTGTTTCAAGGTTTTTACCGAAGTGAAGAAACACTCCATGAACAATCACAGTATGTGATTCTGAGATTTCAGGATAGGAAGCTGCCGTTCGCTTCTGTTGCGATTGCACCGCACGCAAAGCAGCCGCCCGCCCGTCTACTCGCCGGTGCCCCCGTCCTGCTGTGGGGCCCGTGGGTGTCAACGTGGTCAGGCGGAGACGCTGATTGCCTTGGGCATTTCGGAGCCCTCCACCCTGGGCGCCTGGGGAGAAAGCAGCGCCTCGGCTCGGGAGAGAGGTCCGGTCATGCGGTGCGGTGGGGAGAAGTCGAGTCGCGGCGGGTCTTTGACATGGGACCGCGCTGATTTTCCAGCTGTGCCGTGCTTCCTAGTTTTGTCTTATTGTATCTTATTGTGGGTTATGTGTTCTGAAGAGATGCTTCAGAGGTTGATCATCAGCTCCTTGAGGAGCTCCCACTGGTACGTCATACAAGCTGTCACACAACCTCTCTTTTTCAAAACTTAAGGAGATCAACGGGTAGACCATTTGGGGGTAGACCATTTACCCTCTCACTCACTAACATGGAAGTGGATTGCATGGTCCCTTGGAAGACTATTTTCCTCTACCAACAAGGGGTTTTCCACTTCCATGTGATGTGTTCGTCAGAGTGTAGATGTTCGTGTTTTTTGTCATCTCAGCAGTTCTCACCCACCTCCACCAGTGAAGGGGCCGTCGAGGTGGAGGGCTCTTGGTGACTGCGTCGGTGAACTTGCGCCCGGAGCTCTTCAAGGCCGGCAGCGAAGTCGGTTCGCTTGGGGTGGGCTGGGCGCATTGCTTGGCTGGTTGGTTGGCTGCTGTAGGCCCAGTCAGCCATCCCAACTGATCGGCAGTCCGTCCTGGCAGCCCCAGACAGGTCGTGTCTGGGAATATAGTCGATACTATAAATGCTTCGCGTCCGAGGGTCGGGATTTTCGGTGGAAACTGAGATCATTCACCCGCGGGCCTGAGATGGCTTGGAAGGAGGTCGACTCATGCGACACAGTGCAGGATACTCATGCGATACTACCAGGACCCTCCTGTCGGGGTGCCCTGTCTGGAAGCCTAGGCCGGTAGTGTGGGGTAGTCCAGCCAGGACACCCCGAGGGTCGGAGGGTCCAGGTATATAAATGGTTCGCGTTTGAGGGTCGGGATTTTGGGTGGAAACTGAGATCAGTCACCCGTGGGCCTGAGATGGCTTGGAAGGAGGTCGACCCTGAGACACCAGTGCCAGTCGACGCTTCGACGAGGCCATGCTGCTCTACGTGCCCTTTGTGGATGCGGTGAGCACCATGAGTGACCCCTCGAGCCTGGGTCGAAGAATGTCATGTCCAAGTTCAGGTCGAAGGGTCTAAGCTTCTAAAGGCTTTTCAATCTCAAGAAGTGTGGAAGTGCTATAACATGTTTGGGGGGGTTTTATAGGGCTGAGAAGAGGCCGCCACACCCAGCACATCTCCCAATCGACCGCTGCCGACCTAAGGATTCCCTTGACCTGTGGGGAGTGGGAGGAGATTGGGAATCCCAACCAGCGGGAGACCTACTACTACATGTTGGAGTCCTTTGGCACTGCTTGATGCTGCCGACCTGATGGAGCCGACCTGGTGGACAGTGGACCCGACCTGGTGGTCTTTCTTGCGCATGTGAAAGCCTAGGGTTTGGAACTGAACTTGAGATAGAAAGCTGTGATTGGAGCTCTGGAACTTGTGGATTCTTCCATGGTTTCATGGTGTTTCATGGCTGTTTGTTCCATGGACGATGGGGGTGGTCAGCGTGTGTCTTGCAATATGGAGGCCCCCCTCCCAACAGTTTTCTTCCCAGGAAGGTGGATAACTTGAGATAACTTGCAACACCTTTTCTGGGAATTGCATGGTTTCCCCCCCCTCAACATTAAAACAGACAACAATTGCCCCGAAAGGATGTGGCCAGATACCTACTGTTGATGTCGCCTGGAAGCAGAAATTTGTTGTGTTTGAGCTCACCTTCCGGGCACTCCCTGAAATGGTCATAGTCATTGGAAGTGTAAAATGGCCTTTGAAAAGACCATTGGTGTCCCAGTTTTCCACCTCCATTAGTATTTCAGGGGGTGTAAGTTTGTTAGACTTGGGGCGGCTCAGGTACAGCCCCTACGACAACCTTCGAATGCAAGACTATCCTGCTGCACTTGGGCTTTCATATGCTTTCATGCTGGTCGGGGCCATATTGGATTGCAAAGACTTCCCAGATCTTCCATGATTTTGATGAACTAGAGTAACTAGAGGGTGGGTGATACACCAGAAACTTCAACTTCCCCCCTCTTCCTGCGCTGCACAAACGTCAACATACTTCATGGGTTGGTTGATTTGGGACACTGCCATCACTTACTACATAAGGACCTTTGTTTCACCCCGGCAGCGCCAAGATCACCTGAAAAAGGCTTCAATCTGGATCCAGTTATAGTGGATTGAGAGGACCAATGGCACAGACCCCAAGAGGTGGTTTATATATGGACCCCCATCTAAAGGACATCTTGGGGTCTGTGCCATCTAATTACTCTGAAACCACTGCAAAATCAATTGAGCAAGGAGCCGGGGTTGAAGCTACTAGTTGTTGTCACACACCTCCTGGCTTCATAATCTAGGGTTGCTCAGCTTGACTTCTCACAGAAAGGTCCTCCTCAGAATCCTGTGGCCCTTCCTTTCAGTAAAAAGGTGTGCAGATTCCCTTCCAGCACCTTCCATTCGGAGTCCCCGCTGGAAGACTACTTCTCAAGATTTCTGCAGAGAGAACATCCCTTTTCCAGGAAGGTCCAGGTTTATGTCACAGGTCACCTGTTAAAATCCATCTAAAGCATGCTGCTTTATGGAACTCCTCCAGACTTCGACCAGCTCAAAAACAGGGCCTTCGATGTGGAGGAAACGAAGTCAGGTTGCTTGTTCAGCACTGAGTCTTGAGATTTGAAGAATTGCATGTCCCCGCTCCAGATCTGGAAAACATGATCCTGTCTACTGTCTACTGTCACTGTATCCAAGGATAGCTTTACTTGTTGAGACCGACTCTAGATCCAACCACCCTCCCCAGAACGATCAGCCGTGTTTGACAGCAAAGCCCTGTCTCGACACCGACGGTCGCCATGTTGCACATCGCTTGCGCTTGGATCCTGGCGGTACTGGCACTGGAACATGCAAGAGGAGAAGATGAGAGTTGCGAGGAGTGTGAGGACAGGGATGAGAACGGTGTGTGCATCTGTCTGAGAACGCGTGAGTTCTCTTGTTGTTGAACATTCGCGGTTGCTGGAAATCGACCTCAAAGAACTGTGGTTGGCCATTTGCGTGAAGACATGCTTCACCATAACCATAACCAATCACTCGATGCAGATCATCTCGATGCAGATCACTCTTCCAGATGGCTGGCCATGTCTCGCTCGGCCGCTCTCCGCGTTCCACGCGTCCACGGCCCCAGGAGTCGCTGTCGCTGCGACAACTGCGGAGCCAACGTCAGGCCCAGGCGCGGAGCCACCGCGGTGGTTTCGGGGATCGAGGCGGATCGAGTGGAGCGGAACGTCCGGCTCCGGTGGAAGAGGGTTGGTGTTTTCCACGCCCAAGGGGGGGTGAGAGAGTCACGAGGCGTAGTGAGATGGTACTGGGCATGAGATGTTGCGGTCATCATCCACCTCCACCTCCACGTCCAAGTGTAGTTTAGAAGTGGATCTTGGCCACATGGAGCTCCGCCGACCATATATATGTTGAGCAACAACCTTTCATTTGTGCAGCCCCTGAAAGAAATCATGGTTGGAAGTGTAAACCACCCGTTTGGTGTTCGGAAAGGGCCGCAGGGAGTGTAAATTCTTTAGAAGCATGGAACCATCCTCTCAACGGAGATGTGCCAATTTTCAGTTCCACCATGGGAGAACAAACGGAACACCAAACAACAAACCATCAAACAAAAAGTGTATCTCCTGGGCACTTTTTTTTTCGGAAGAGACCCTGTGCCTTACGCCTTACATGAACCACCTTGGCGGCGATGTCCCAGTCGCTTTGGACCAAACCGCCTTTGGTCGGCCTCCCACCGGCCCATCCAAGGCCTGGAGCTTCGAGAAGCCCGACCCCGAGCTGTTGCTCTGGGATCGCGTGGTGAACGCCACCATCGGCGCGGTGGAACGCGTGGTCTACAACGGTTGGCTGAAGGTGCCACTGGTCCATGTGGCTCGGAGATGGGCGGAAAGCGGGGGCGGTTTCAGTCGTATACGGCCGCTTTGGATTCCGCCAGAAGCTGAAAAAGGTAAGTCTGAACTACTAGGAGCCACGGGAGTTGGGTGGTAGACATGGACACCCCTGATATATAACCTCTGACTCTAAGGGGCTATGAATAGACACCCCTGGTCCGGGTGTCCTGAACCATGAAGTAGTTTGGAGATTCTTGCAGGTTCTTGTTCTACTTTTCAAAGGGGCTGTGTGTCGAGAAAGAGGGCACAACTTCTTTGGAGTCTGAAGGGTCTACCATCAGGGCCAGTTCGGGGTGAGTCATGTTCCTGGACTCTCAGGGTGATTGCTCGCACCTGGCACCTGCTTGGCACCATTCTTCAGCACAAACATCCTCCCAAGAAAATCACATACATGTTCACGTGCTTTGACGGTGCAGTTTTGAGGCGCAGTGGTTGCGCAGCGCCGCCATTGGCGCGGGGGGGCTTATCAATCAAAAGAACAAGTACTGTTCGTTCTTTGGTTCCTTGAACATCCGAGGATCCGGCGCTCTTGGACTTCGAAGAGCCTCCCTACCTATGTCTTCGCGTGCGTGGTCTTAAAGCCCTGAAGCAACCAGCGGCGAATGGTCCACTGCTCATGCACTGCGGAGGTCCTGGCAGTGGCCGGGACTGCGCGCGCCCTGGTCATGGAAACTGGACATGTTGAGAGGTGATATGAGGTGATATGAGGTGAATTCCCATCCGTCTCGTTGTGTTGGTCTGAGAAAAAAACAGGGGTATGACATCAGGTTCGACGGGGTGACTCATGCGAGCGAGCTTCTTGCTGCAGTCTGCAGCCGTCTCCACAGGGGTTTGCGAGGTGAGTGATGTTAGGCAAGCGATGTGAGGATTTGATGCCTGGCGTTTGAGTACTTCAAGGTTTCATGCTGACTGAAAGAGGTTTTTGTGACAACTTGGTGTTTTCCATGCTTTTCTTGTGAGACATTGCATGACATTGCCAAGTTTTAGGACATTGAATGCATGTCAAAGGAAGACAAAAGGACATATTATCATATAGGAATAAACCAACAGCTGCAGAAGAATCTGTTCGATGCACGTTGAACATGCGGAGCCCGGGAAGAAGATGTTTGGGAAGAATATATATACAGATCTTCCTCAACTGTGCAACATCTTCAGCCGTTCCATCTCTAAAAACCCGCCAAGCCAATTTAGGCAGACAGTTTGCATCATTTACTTGGAAGATATGTATCTCTTGTACCTCTTGGAATCCTGTCACCGGGAGATCGACCGAGGCAAAGGATGACCGAGCTCAATCTCGACATCGTCACTCAGTCCAATCGTCGCGTCTCCGCATGGGAACGTGGTGAAACTGGTGGAATCCTCAGTGGGTTTCCTTCAGCCCAGCCCGTGCGCCGGTGAATCCTGGGTGAATCCTCAGGACTTCAGTGTCTTGTTTGTTGAAAACCTGCTGGTTTTACCTGGTTGTTGGGCCATGCTGGTTGGCCGCTTCAAGGCGATTTTCAGTCATCCCAGAATAGCGGGGGGGTCCACGCAAGCCTATGAAGAAGAGTGGTTGTGCTGGGTGTTCTCATGTGTGCTCACGACGTCATTGGATCTCCAATACATCCAGCCTTATGGTGGTAGGAAAAGGGAGCCATTCTAAAGGGAAGATAGGAAAAGATAGGGAAAGCAAGGAAGCATGGGATTGCAACCAAGCTAAAGCTAACTTAAAGCAATCCAAGCAAGTTGTATTTTTTTGGGGGGGTTGGAGTGCGCAACACACAAGTTGATGTAGACACTCTTGATTGAAACAATTATTGGATTGCAAAAATTGTATAACCTCTTGATCCGGGGTACCAGATTGGTCTCCGTATCCAATACCGATTTTACCATGTGAGGCTTTACCATCAATAATTGACTCAAATAGAACCCACAATGATTGTAAGTTAATGTAGACACTCTTGATTGACTCAAATAGAACCCTCTTGATCCGGAGAGGTTCGCCATTTGATCAATCCGAGTTCTTCTTCAATACGGATTCCCGAGAGGTAGTCGACGTAGTCACTCCCTTGCTCCTGCCTGCCAACTCCTTGGTGTTCGATCCGAAGTGGGAAGAGTGAGTGAGTGAGTGAACACCACCTGCAGTGCTCGAGCGAAGCGTTCGGACCAGCCGTGCCGTGCCATCCAGCCGGCCAGGCCCAGATGTATGAGACGTTTGTAGACTCATTGATTTATATAAGAGCCCCCTTTATAAAGAGGAGGTCCACAGTTCAACTGGGTGGGTTTATGAATCAGACTACATGATCTACTCGGGAGTGTATCAGATCTCCCCTCACACTCGCAATCCAACACATGAAAAACTCCACCGGACACCGCTGAGAACCCCCTGGAAGCTCAAGAAAGTTCTTTCGGCGCTTGAAATGCCCAGGTCAGGTCGCCACCGTCCGCCCCCGAGGGTTTCTGTATTGACATATCAATGCCCAGGACGGGGGGTTAGGAGCGAAATACTAATTCCAAACCACACAGAAGGGGTTACCTTCACCTAGACTACCCCCCGGTCCAGCTCTTCGAAGCGGTGGAGTGCTGCTCTTCCCCGTCCAGGATGGGCGGCACCAGCTCATCGCCAGCTACGATGTCCTGGCCATCGACCAGCGGGGCGTCAACACCAGCCACGATGCCAACGAGACCCAAGGAGCCGGGAACGGACCCCGACCCGGGAGGCAACGGGACTGACAGGGCGCAGGGGTGTGGACCGTCCGGACCCCAAGCCTGGGCAGGGGTCAACCGTCCCCCCCCAAAAACCGCTGGACCTTCTTCTGGTAGGTTGACGTTCATGTTCCGTGTGTGTTTTTTTTGCACGCAGGGTCCCGCGGATGGGAGCTCGCGGGCATGGTTTGGCGGTCATGGGCTCTTGGTACCAAAAGTGATGCGGGAACAGGTCGCACTGGTGCCGTTGCATTCGCCAGGAGGCTGGGGAGAAGTACCGGCTTGCCCTTTCAGTTGGTCAGGGCATCCGGTGCAGCGCTTTCCAACCATTTACTGTGACTTTGCGATGAAGAAACGCCAGGAGAAACGCACAAACGTCAATGTTCCGCCTGTTTCTTTTGTTTTGTGTGTGCCACCCAAAAGACAAGGACATTCAGGGAATCTGACAAGAAGATGTTGCTTTGGGCAGGGGGTTCATTACAAACTCAAAGAGGTTGGGTTACCATCCGACCAGGTTGGACGCTTTTCTTCCATGAAACGGTTGCCCATGGTCGCCAACATTCTCGGGGCTGTGCTGGTCCATAGGCACCCACATCCAGATCCGACTAAGGCGATGAGACCAAGAAGTATTTGGATGGATCTAAGGACGGGTGGTGGGTTTTCTGACACATCCGGCGTTCCGGCAGGGCATCCGGCGCCCCATGGTTGGGTGCGCCACGAATTGCAGGGTGGCAAGACTCATGGTCTAGTATGTATATAGAGGTCAAAGGAGAAAACAGTAACCACTCTGCCTAGGGCTCCAACCAAATCCTCAGGTGGTGAGACTGCCCAAACCCACCCGTTCTGTATCTCTTAGATGCCCTGCGGCAGTTTCTCAACCATATTGACTTACATAAACAGTACATAGTACAGTGGCTCTTTGTTGATTAGCAAGGACCAGTACGGTTTGCAGCTTTTCTTGGGGTGGGTGTGTGCATTCAGTATGTACATAGCTCCATCCGTAACATGTGCCTGATTTTCTGGGGTGTTCCACTACCAGGGTAGCACTGCTGGACCCGAGGCGAAGTTGGAATTCCCGCTTTTTGTTGGTACCTGCCTTTATATGATCCTTTATGTGCCTTTCATCTGAGAACCTGAGCGGAATTTGCAGCGTTCTCTTGAAGAGTCCGATTCTTTACACGGTACTGGGTGAACCAACAGCGCAAGCTGGCTTGCTTCGAACATCTTCTCCTCTACTTATAGTGCGTGGAATCATTTGCCCAACATGATCCTACAGTCGTAGCTCTACGTCTATCTCAAGCTAGAACCACAGGTCAAAGCATTGGTAACTCAAGTGACGGCAGGAGCTTCAGCAGGAGTTGATGGAGATGCTGATGCCCTTGGACAACCAGACCGCTGTGGCCCGGTTTTAGTTTTGAAGTTGTCGGTTCGATGCTTCACTAGCAACCTCACCGACTAGAAGAACACGGAAAGCACGTGTTTATTTGTTTTTCTGCTGATGTTGCTCGTGGGAAAGAGAGGCTGTCCTGAACCAAACCAATCTTGGCTCTTGATCAAGGAGATTCCGCTTGAGTAGAAAGGAACTTAATGAATTCTAGAATTCCACCGACCCATTTTTGCCAAGAACGCCGCCGTATGGAACCAATGGAACCTTCCAAGAAACACATCTCTGTTTACTGAAACGGAGAGACACCGCCGCCAAGCAGCTCGCTTCGCGAGCTAAGCGCGCGGAAATTTCCGCGCGCACGCGGCGTGCGCTCGCCAGGTCCAAGACGCATGGGAGAGCTATGTCCTACCCACCTGGCGTGGCGACACCGCCTTTTCAACGAACGAGCCCTGGTCGATCACGACGACTCGACCGGAGAGGCTGCGCAAAGCAGGGGTCATGACGGGTTTGGGGTAGTGAACTTCAACTGTCAAATGGGCGGAGAAATTAAGAGGCACTGTATAGCTGTTCGAAGATCTTTCCAGTAAGGTTTGTCAGAACTCCTAGCCCCCCTGACACAAGACTAGGCAGTGGTTCAAATTAGGCAGTGTTCGTGGTGTGGGGACGATGTAGAACTAATTAGTTGGTTTCAAGTGGCTGTATTTTCGACCTATACTACCTGTCCTGGGAGGATGAATTCCGATGAGCAAAAATGGGTGGTGGTTTCAGAATGGTTTCAGATATTTGTCACTTTTAACCTGTTCCTGAACTGATTGATCCCACTGACCAATTAGTGTTTTTTTTTCAAGTGAGTTGAAAGCACCAACAAGATCCAACAAGTACATACAAGCGCAGTATGACATCTTTTGGACCGGGGACCCACCAACCTGGACCAACCAGCCCACCTCCCGACTTGCTTCTCTAGGAGATCGACGTGCGCTGGTTCTATCGCATGGTGAAGCTGGAGCACGGCCTCTGCTACGAGGCAGGTCCAGTCCAGTTGGCCCCAAGACGGGGTCCCGAAGGACCTCATTGGCATACCCAGGACGGTCGTGGATAACTGGAAAACCAGTCCCTTAGGGGGGGGGGAGTGGTGACTCCCAACCTCCACAAGAAGGAACTGGTAGAAAAGAAGGTGAACTGAAGGAGTCCGGATTTGGTCAAACCTGGTCCGAATGACCTCATGGGTGCCTACGGACCTTGTATGACCATACCCAGGGAAATGAGGTCCTGGCCCATGGATCACCGGGGACCAGCGTTGCAGCGGCCTCATGTCATCCTCCCCCTCACCCCGCAAGGCCCCAGCTTCTTTGGGGGGCGCTTTTGGACCTCATTCCGTCGACCTATATATGCTATATATGTTGTTTTCCTTTTGCAGTGCTCCTTTCTATATAGCGGCTCTTTGTTTCGTTCCACGTTACCCTCTGGAGAAGGGTACATGGGTACAGATATCAGGATGAGTCACCCTGCGTTGAATCCAAAGATTGGCTTAATTCGAATCCTCACTTTTCACAATAGAAAACAGGATTCCAATTCTAACGGTTTCTCTAACATGTTGATTGGGCTGATTGCTTGGACATGGCAATGAGAAACCGGCATGACTGAGCGGGACGGCCAGTCGTTGGTGCATGGCGCTTCGGTAAGCGCAAGTCGGTCACGCCCCCCCTGGCCCTCACAACTCCTAACAGGAGAGAGATGGGCCTCGCATGGCCCAGCATCTCCGGCAGATCCAAACTGTTTGTGCTATATATACCAGGAGTCACGGAAACTCACGGGGTGCTTGTAATGGTTTGTAAGTGAGTGGGATGTTCTGGGCACCCCGACTTCCTCCAAGTTCGGCACCCCGTCTTGTGACTCCTGGTATTTTTCACATATGGAGAGAGATCATGAAGTTCCTTCTGCACATCTTTGCACAAATCATCAGGCCGTTAGGACTACAGGGACTACAGGGGTTACCTTGAATCAGGAAGTCCAACAGTGATTCACTAACTTCTCCGGTCACTCAAGTGGCCATTCAGCAGGGGCGCCGCAGGCGGAACGGTACAAGATGAAGGCGCCCAATGGCAGGGCATCTTGGCGCGGAACCCACCTGCCGGGGCAGAAAAGGGAACTGTTTCATGAGCAGATCAGATTCACAGGTGTTTCACCAGGCCGGTCACGATGTGAACCCACCACAGATCTTGCTTTTCTTAAGGCTGGTTGACCTGGTTGGCTACTCCTGTTGCACCGTTGACCTCAGGAAGATCCTCTAAGGTGGTGTCACTCACAGTCCGGCATCGTTTTCGCATCTGGCTTCGCCACAAAACTGGACCAGTTCTCGAGAGTCTTGAGGAGAACCTCAATGGTTTCTCCTCAGGTTCTAAGAATACAGGTTCGCATCTTAACCTATATAACTGGTTCTAAATGGTTCCAATACTTTGATTCACCACTCCCTGAGAGGCAAATCGCGCCTAGCACAAAAAGCACAGCTACATCCGCCACACGTCGCCCACACAGCGCCACCAGGTCTACAACGCCTTGCAATTCGCCGGAACGGTGGACTTGGCCCATGACATGGACCGCCCAAGTCGTCGTCGCCCGTTTCTCGCTCGCTCGCTGCCGACTCGCACCAGGTAGGTGAGCGCTGGCGCAGGTTCCGCTGAGAAGTTCCGGTGCCTCCTCGGTCTGGTGTGCTAGGCGGACTAGCGGACTAGCCTGTGCTTCCACTTGGTTTCCGGGTCAGCTTGGTCCAAATCTTGCGCCAGTTCAACTCAAATCCACAACCGGTAGCAGTAGGCAAAGAATGATGAAGAACGGCATACAGATATCTTAGGACTTCATACGTCGCAAGGCACACTCACCCCATCTCCACTTCCCATTCCTCCATTCCTCCATTCCTTCCCATCTTTCAGACCCCACTCGACCACGCTGCAGGACCTGCTGCGCCGGGCGCTGGGTGCCCCGAAGCTCTCGGTCTACGGCGCGTCCTACGGCACCGCGGTGAGCGCCACCTACGCCACGATCTTTCCCGAGCGGAGCCACCGCCTGGCGCGCCGGTCGGTCCGGAGACGCCGCCGCGGTCGGTCGTGTCTCCGTGTTGACACGGGGGCTCCAGGGTGTTGGGGGCCGTTTGAGGAGGGTGAGGAGGGAAAATAATCGGAAAAAAGCTGAGAAGTTTGGGGGGGAAGGAGTGGGGGAGGACGAATCTGGAGGAGAAGAGTCGAGCTTTTGGGAGGTGAGATGAGTTGTGGAAATTGGGCCAAGTGCAGCAAGTGACGGAGGGTTGTCAGATTGCATTCAGATCCACAAGAAGGATGAAGCAAAAGAACAGGTCATGTCTCTTTCTCCACTTGGCTTCCACTTCGGAGGTCATGGACGGGGTTCTGAATCCCTTTCCTGACACCGAAGCCCGGGGCATTAGCTTCTCCAAAGGCATCCAGGCGCGGGCAGCTGGCAGCATATGGCAGCAACGACTTGGAGGGTCAAAGCAAACCTGAAAGACAAGTTAAGAAACATGGTAACAAAAACCATGTTCCAAAATGTTCCAAAAACCATTGTTGTTTGCTTTTGTGTGTGTGCAATTGTCTAAAGCATTCTATATGGTCGTTGGAAGAGGGAGGGGCCAGAAACACAAGTTTGATCAGTGAAACTGTGAACCGGGTGCTTGGGTGGTGGGTCGGTTCCTGACAGCGAACCCCTTATATAGATCAAGCCAGTCCCTTTTCGGGTTACTCGAGGTCCTATGTGGGTGGGGTTGCTATTTCTTGCTTTCAGCATGGGTGATTTCGTCGATTCAGTTTGGCCCCAGATGGCACTATAGGCTGTCCCTTCTACGTGCCGTGCTCCCCCGGAGAGCCTTTGATCCTGGTTGGCTCACTTAACGATGACTCTCCAACCCTCGGGGTGCCTCCAACGATTCTTCGTCGCCTCACCATGCATGCGAGGCATGGGAACTCCAACTCATGGGAAGCCTTTAGAAACACGCAGTGGGGGACAGACCGATACAAGTACTCTACTCCAGAAAGATTTGAGTGAGACTTGTGAGACTCCTATATAAAAAGGAACGTCTATAAACCCATACACTCCATGGGACTGGAATATATGCCGCCCCATTGACTTCCCTGGCACCACCCCAACTGATCGGCATCTGTGGCAGTCCCATTAGTCGTGTCTGGGAAGGTGAATGTCTACATGTTTCTGCCGACCCGGTCTGGCTGCCGACAAGAGAAGAGAAGGCACGAAGCACACCCACTCCCACGCAACATATGATGGGCTTTGGTGTCCTTCTTTGGATGGTGGTTTCGGAGACTGTGATGTTCGACCTTTACCTTGGGATGATTGAACCCATTGACATCCATTGACTATAATATTTAATAATGTTCAAGTGACTTGAAACCGCCAACCAGTTCTTATTATCACTGCTTGATCTCCCGATATCTCCCAGACACACCGCGCACCGAACGATCCGCGCACCGAACGATCCGCAGCGCACGGTACCGGCCTGATCCGCCCGTCGCAGGCGGTCTGGGATGGCTTGGAGGAAGACTGCGAACGCTCCTTGCGTTTGTTTCCCCACGGCTCGCCCGAGCGGTGCCCGGCTGCACCTGGGGCATCGGTGAAGGTGCAGGAGGCGGGAGCCACCGTGGGTCTGGAGAGTAGGTCAGGTGTGCTGAGCCAGGTGCTTTCTCAGAGATGGACACGCAGTTCGAAGTGAAAGACTGTCTAACAGTCAAGTACACCTAACACCAAGTACACCTATGCAACGATATTAATTAAGAGTATGAGATGAAGCGATCTTAATGAGTATGAGTTGATAGATTATGTGTTGTTGATCCATCAAACCGTGTGAGACGTTCACCGTTCACCCGAGCAGGTCTTGAAGGGATCCAATCAAACTCTGGCTTTCCAGTTGCGGCAGCTCATGCTGATCGCCGTTCCTTGGAGACACTAGGGTGCAACACTGGGTCAAGCGACCTAGAAAAAGACTCCAAGAACTAACTCATACTAACTCCAAAGAACGAACATAGCCACTGTTTTTATCACTGCATTTGGGTTTCGAGAACTTCTTCGGACCCTGGTTCTAGTATACATGTTAATACCATATTCATATAGCCCAAAAAGACTGTGACACACATACCAGAAAAAGACCCCGGAAAGGAGGCTCTTCGAACGGCCAGAGCGGCTAGAGGCCACGCATGCGGAGGATGTGGGCCCAGTGGCTATGGCTTGTATCCAGCAATTCCATTCGGGCCGCCAGGCGATTTGTTCGGCGGTTTCCGGGCGGTTTCCAGCAAGACTGGGCGAGTGGACGAGTGGACGAGTCAAGTGGGGGGGCAGAGAGTCAACGAGGCGAAGTATGAATCAGTGTAGAACACTGTTCTATACTCGTACTCCATTGTAATCAAACAGATATCCAGGCACTTTAAGAGATATCCAGGTATAATAATATATGTTGTTCTAAAGGAACGGCAGGTGCATGGGTGCCACTGCTTTCTATCACCTGGCAGGTACCTGGGTGCGACCAAATATTGCCCCAACTGGGCATCAGTGCGGGCAACGATACGGATCACTTTGGCCTTAGCCTCTCGGTGAGGAGGGCTCCGACCCCACCACGGGGCTTGGCGACTCGGGGCGGAGGTGATCCAGGAGGCCGGGCATAGCTGGAGCATCCGGAGGTCGGGGGTGCCCTGTAGTTTGGTGGTGTAGGGTAGTCCAGGACCCAAGTGGACACCCGTTGGCTGGTCCCGCGACATCTATGGCAGTGACGTCTCAAAATAGGGAGACCTTCCAGCTTCGACCCCCTGGGAGAAGGGAAATAGATCGCCCATTGGTCGGGGTCCCTGTCAAAACTTACATCCAATATCCCTCTGGATCCACGTACCCTATGAGAATGTCATTGGAGAAACCTTTATGTAGGCTTGGAGGGTTCAAGTACCTTCTGAGGAGGTATGCGGATCCCTACAGGGTATGGACGAGGCATTTGGAGATGTTAGCATAGCTTAGCCCAGTAAATATCAGTAAATAAAGGTTGTATGTGTTGCTTTTTGTTATGGTGGTTTTAACAACAACGTTTGCCGCCTTGTTGGATTTGAGTCAACAGTCTTGACGAGGGTATGCAACACGAAGGAAAGGGGTTTCATTAATTGAATGACTGAGAATGTCTATCCTGCTGGACTCCAGGATTGGGCGGCCAGCTGCCGTTCCAAAACGCTCCGACATGGTAAATGATGGGAACAGCATTCGGTACCACCCGTGCGGCACGACTGGACGATATATAGATGTTATGGCAACTTTGAGCTCCAAAACTGCGACCCTGCCCGGTGCCCGGATCCGCACCCTCAAAAAACACGGGTTTGAAAGAGGGCCCGAACCAGCCCTTGTGAACTAGAGGGTTCGACCCCCGACCCCAGGAGGGTCCAAGGATCCTTTTCTCGTGCCCAAAAAACATGTTTGAAGCCTTTTGAAACTTCTCCACCTCCCTCGACTGGACCGAACCCATCGCCCAAGACCAATCCCGAACCGGATGGACACCATGGACGGGTGACTGGCTGATCAGTGGGTTTGCAGAGGGAAAACCGTGAAGCAGATGGAAAGGACATTCAGCATCAATAAGAGGATCATCACATCAGATTCTATTTGACGATTCAATGGTCATCAAGCTAAGTCGCTTCTACGGATGCTTCACGCTAGTGCCGGAATGACTAGGCAGAGGCAGGGGAAAGATCCACTAGTCAAGTCAGGAAGGTCCAACACTTTGCGTGGCATGCTTCGTGAAGGGTTTGACCATGTTGGACAGTTGGACCATCTCATTGGTGGGACTGAGCTCCAGCAATTTGCATGTCTAATCCATCTATAATCCATGATCATCAATGACGTCTATTACATCTATACAAATCCATGATTCATGATCATCATATGTTCACCTATTTTCACCAACGCCCCACGGCCGCGAGCCGATCCGACATTCCTCCGTCCCCGACGTCTGGGTCTGTTCGCGTCGACCAAGGCATGCAGGCCCTGGTGATGGCGACCGACTCCTCGGGGCGTCTCAATGAGGAGGACGAGACGTCGAGATTGACGGGTGACGGTTTCGTTTCTTCGGATCGTTTTGGGGAGGAGGAACACCCGTCGTCTCCCAAACAGCGTGTGTTATGTTTCTTCTTTGGGGGGGTGGTTGTGAGGGGAGGGCTTCGTCTTCGTCCGTTGGTTTTGGGGGGGTGTTTGTTTGTGCTTTTTTGGTTGGAGGTCGGACGGAAGAAGGAGAAGGAGAAGATAGCGGAGAAGTGTCTTTTTGTTTTGCGGGGCAGAAGCTGAAAGCTGAGACATCAAGATTGAAACCTAGCAGCTAGCAGTTTCCGGTTTCCTTTTTCGCTGGATGTCCCAGCTGCAGTGTGAGTTCGGCAGTGGGGTTCGAAGGAAGGATCCTGCAAGACCTGCGACCCCTCTGAATTCACGATGAAACTTCCAGGCTTTCAGGGGCGGTCGAGTGAGCCTTCGTTGGGACAGCAAGTTGGACAGAGGAGGGACTTCCACCGAACCGGCGTTCGAAGTTCCCACCGATCATGAGCGGATTTGGGGACACCTCTATTGATATATGCTACTGAGAGCCCTCAACACGGTGGTGGTATGTGTCTCACTGTGGCCCTTGACAGTGGAGTTTGTTCGGAGAAGACTCGGAGAAGAGCACCCAGCTTGGCAGAAATAGCATCAACTTATCAACTTATTCCTTGCAAAGGTGACTTAGCGGCGTTTCTGGTAGAAAATGCCCATGCTGTTGCTGAGGTATACCCATGAGCCGAGCAGATATACAGCTCCAGAGTAAACCAGCACCTCCTATGGCAGACCAATGTCCTACTCTTGGAATGATGATCCAAGTTCTTCATGCAGTGGCGTATTGTTCAGCACATGTTTCCCACCCGGAAGACCAGAAACGCGAGGGTAAAAGCGCTCCACTTCACTGCAGGAGTTCATCGTTTGGTGGCGCAAGGCCTCCGCCTCTTCGTTGCGACGAACGGCACGTCCATCCGATGTGACCGGTCGGACTGATGTGACGCGCCTCCCTTTGGACTGGAAACCGTCGGGCTAGGCGGCTAGACTATAATCATCCAACTTGTTACTGGTAATGGGCTATACCCCGGAAGTATATGAATATGACAAGATGATAGCACGTCTTTGGGGCGAAGGTTTTTCTTGTTTCAATTCATCGTCCATTGTTACTGGTAATGGGATGTACCCAGTATGTGATATGTGCCGTGTCGTTTGTTCACAGCTGGTCGTAGTAGGTAAGGGGGGGAAGTTACAGCCACTTATTGATAATTCGGGGTTTTGTTGAAGGGAACGTTGCAGGGATACTCTGCATAAGGGAATCACTCCACATCCCAATCCCCTTCCGGTTGAACATGTTGTTCCTTGTGTTCAGGTGGTACTGTACCCTTTGTTTTGAACAGGTGTTCTTCTTCCATAGTGGCCTGGCTATGTTTGGGTCATTGACTAGAGGACCAATGTAGCCCCCCTGTTGGGCAAGTGAATTATAGAGCCGCGCGTGAGGCTGTCCGCATCTATCCGCTAAGGCCCTTAAGGGGCTGATGAGATCTAGGATCGCTCCATGAAAGCAACTCTGCAGGATGCAGTGGTATTGGACCCAATGAGTAGCACCCCGGACCTTCACGCACTTTTCGTTGAAAGTCTGGTCTGCAGAACCAACCGATTTCCACAAGCCTTAAGCTGGCATGTGGTGCTCGAACTTGGGGCATTTGACCGGTGTGATTTCCCCCGAAGGACCAAGGACCAAGTGGGAATGCCAAGCACGGTCCTTCGGTTCAATTTCACTCGCACGAAAGGTGGGAGAGCTAGCCCTCTCAGAACGACAAAAGCACACAAAAAAGATGGAGTCATACAACAGAGAGAGAGAGGGAGAGAACATATCACCGCGAAATCCAGGAAGCACCTCCTTTCCAAGAAGTCTTGCGGTATATCCTCTACTTACCTTTCCTTACTTTCCTCTACTTAGACATCCAGCTTGCCATCTCCGCTCAGAGAGTCTGAGGAGAGCTATCCCATTGGCATTCTATGGTCCATCAATTGGATGGTCGCCATGAGCACTTGGCCCAGCTACTCACGCCCAGTACCTCCCGCCGGTGCCTCCGGAGTGCCGGCCGACGCTCGGCGTTCGGCAAAACGGCCGGGATGTCACGGATGTCTTAGCACTTTCTGATTTGATGGCATTGGTTTTCTTTCTTTGTTTGCTTGAGGCTGTGGGTTTTGCTTGAGGCGACTGGCGCCTCCCGTTCCCGTAGCACCTGAGGTCATCATTGGCAACCTTCATGATCCTCAAACTGCTTTCGAGAGCGCACAGCTCTTGAGAAGGAGAGATGCAGCAGATGCAATATGCCATGCCATTGGAGTGATTCAGCACCAGTGACTGAGTGGTTTCAACCACACAACCAAACAATACCAAACACCAGATGCATATCTCAGCAGTTTCAGATGTTTATCTCTCCACCCCTCGGGCGTCTGGAAAGATTCCTTCCAAAGCACTGGTTGGCCGAAAGAACCAAGACATACGACCCATTGACCCCTTTCAATATGTTTCAACCACCCCAAATGGTATATGCCAGTACCATGCCAGTCGTGTTTGGGTATAGGATTTTGGTTGCACTTGGGGTGGATGTTTGCTGCGAAGGCTTGTTCACTTGTGAACGGCTGATATTCGAACCCAAAGGAGATGATATGGAGCATGCCTGGAGCATGCAGCAAGAACTGATGTTGACTAAACTGGCAGTGGATGTTTGACAAACAGCAGATCTACATGGAGAACCCTCACCTGTGTTTCAGGGGTCTGAGGGTTAGACAGTTAAGCCATCAGGTCCACTGATGGTCCTAAACGGTCCTGAATCAGGTCTCCTCCAAGCTTTTAGAGTGATTTAGAGATGGTTTAGAGGGATATAGATTCAGATGAAGAGGGTCTGTGGGCACAGGGTCTCTGCTGGATTCATGGTCCTGAATGGTCTGCTGCGAGGAGCTTCCCGGAGGGTTACTTGGTGACCTGGCAGGGCTATGGGCATTGCTTCAAGGTCTACCAGCGGCTCGGCGAGGCGTACGCCTTAGTCAGGCATACGGGCGATGCTGAACGTTGCTGCTTTCTTCTCTGTCCACGCGCGGCGCGGAATGCGGAACGTGAGGGAAGAAGATGAACAGCAGAATGGTCCAGGTTCCGAACTCACTGGTGGCGGTGCAGCGCATGTCTTGAATTCTATGTTGAACTCGCCCCCACCAGCAGATAGAGACACAGGCACGACCAGGGACGACCAACCCCTTCAGCTCAAAGACGCGTTCTTCCTATGCCAATGATCCACATGGGTCTTGCCAGGAGCCCCAAACGTACCAAGAGAGGTTCAGTGACCTGAACGTTCGGACCCGTCACCTGGGGTACCCTGGCCTGGGATAGTCGAACCTTCGGGTTCTTCAACCTCTGTTGGTCCCTAT